GAGAGAGAGAGAGAGAGAGAGAGAGAGAGAGAGAGAGAGAGAGAGAGAGAGAGAGAGAGAGAGAGAGAGAGAGAGAACGTGCGCACACGTACACACGCACATTCAGACGTACGGACGAACGCACTCACGAGCGCGCAAGGACGCACACCCACCCACCCACCCACACACACACACACACACACACACACACACACACACACAGAGACAGAGTCATTTAGGTGACACAGAGCAGGAATATGGGGTGAGACCGTGAGGGGCATTCGTCCTACTACAGACGCGCGATCCATCGAGAGGAAAAGGAGGGGGTCAACGAGAAAGGAGGGGGGGGCCGGGTAAGAAGAGGAAGAGGAGGGTAGGGGGGGGAAAGGAGAAGAGGAGGACACAAAGCAGGACTATGGGGTAAGGTGGGATTCGTCCTAGAGACGCGCGCTCCAACCAAGAGGAAAGGGAGGGGGTCAACGAGAAAGAAGGAGGGTAGGAGGGGTAAGAGAGGAGGAGGAGGGTAGGGGGGGATAGGAGAGGGAGGAGAAGGAGGAGAAGAAGCGGGCGACGATGGCGGTTCGAAACTTTTTGACAGTGGTTCGGAGAGCGCCGCTCTACCGCGGGAGCGGGCGCAACAGTGGCGCAACAGCTCCGCAGCGGGGAATGCTGAACATCGGCGCACCGGCTCCTCCTTGTCCCATGCCGGCCCGTCCGAGCTACTATGATAGATTCGGCTTCAGCAGCGGCGGTGGCATGGACACCATCGGTCTGGACTTTCCTTCCTCCGTAGCCTGCTGCCCCTTTCACTCGTGCAATGGTGGCATGGGCCTGCATCCGACCTGTCTACCCGGCGCCGCCACCAGCATATACGGCTCTCCCGGCGGCAGTCTTCAATGGCCGCCTACTTGTGCGATCGCACCAGGCGGCGGACTGGCAGGAGTAGGCGGAGGAGGGGGAGGGGGAGTAGGAGGAGGAGGAGGAGGAGGAGGAGGAGGAGGCTTGACACCACCGCCTCAAATCCCCTCCTCCTCCCCTGCCTCCTGCTACCATCCTAATCGTCAATTATGGCCGCGGCCAAGGTACTTCTCGGCTTCCCCCGACATGACAACCATTCCTCCTCAAGCCAATCTACTAGCTCCCGAGGAGAAGACGTACGCGCGAGATGTGCAAGAGTATAATGAGGTGCTGTACAAATTGTCCCGATCCAAGCGGGCCTATCTGATGAGAGATGTTTACGAAGACATGTTGATGGATGGCATCCGTCCCAATCGCGACACCTATCATCTGCTTATCCCGGCTTGCATGAAGGCGCATCGTCTCCAGGACGTGATGTACTTCTTCAGCGAGATGAAGTCCAGCGGTCTGATCCCCGACCTCGTGCTCTTCAACTGCATCATCTCCACTTGCGGGCGGTGTTTTCAGGTCCGCCGAGCCTTCGAAGTTGCCGAGGAGATGAAGGCCTTGGGCATTCAACCCAAGCTGAGGACGTTCGTGGCTCTGCTGAATGCCTGCGGCACGTCGGGCCGAGTGGAGGAGGCCTACGACGTCGTGATGCAGATGGCAGCTCACGGCCTCACTCTCAACAAGTACTGCTACAGCGCTCTCATCACTGCGCACAAGAATCGACGGCCAGTGACTCAGGACACGTTCGTGAAGATCTTTGAGCTTCTCGATCAGGCCCGCGCACAGATGAAGATGAACGCTGAGGACGACCTCGGCTACCCCGGTCTGGGAGACGAGTACGACGAGATCACCGAAGAGATTGCCTGGATGCAGGATGTGCCCGCCAAGAGAGGCTTGATTACACACAAGGCCGCCGTGTACAATGCCGCTCTGCGTGCCTGTGTCGATCTGCGTAATCATGAAGCGGCGATGAAAGTGATCGACAGAATCAAGGAGGACGGACTGAAGCCAGACGCTTACGTGTTCACGCATCTGATTCGCTCTTACTTGATGCAAGGGGACATGGACAAGGCTGTGGGGACCTTCGACAAGTACATGGCGACGGGAGGACACCCTTCTCTCGACATTTTCATGATTATGATCGAGGGTGCCATTCGGCGATACAAGCCGGAGACGATGGAGCTTGCGAAGCGGCTGTTGAAGATGATGGAAGAGCATGGGTATTTCTTAAACCCCAAGTTTGGGGGGCAGCTGCTCTCTCTGGCGGCGAGAGAGCATGGCGGCGACTTCTCCACGGCCAACATGATATGGGACATGTTAGACAAGCAGAACCGGAAACCTCACTTCAAGGCGGCGTTCGCGTACCTGCAGGGATTGCAAAATCGCGGCACTCAGGCGACCGATCAGCGATTGCTCGCTGTGAAGTCCCTTGTATCTCCGGATTTGATGAGGATGCAGCGGCAAGGAGTAGGTTCAGCAGGAGGGGGAGGAAATGGGGGAAACGGAGTAAATGGTGGGAGTGGTGCAGGAGCAGTTGGATCTGCTGGAGGCGGAGGAGGCGGAGGAGGAGGAGGAGGACGAGGAGGAGGCGGTGGTGCGGGAGGTCCAATGTCTATGGCTGGTAATCTCAGACCTTGGATTCGAGGTGGCGGGGCTGTTCAGCGGCCTGAGCTTAGCTCCGTCGCAGGAGGAGGACCGTTTGCTTCTACCTCTTCCAGCCATCCGCATCCTCCTCACATCAACGGCCATCGCGAACGCATCGGTCCTGGGGATTTGAACAGCGAAGACGAGGTCTCCGGAGATGACAGCGATGATGAAAGGCTTGGGAAAGTTCCCCTCTTTGGACTCAGTTCGCCTTTTGGCGACGTGGCCTCTCGATTGGGACACATCTTCTGACAGACTTGACTCGCAATGACATGATGAAGGGAAGGAGTTGGGAGAGAGGAGGTCTTCGTGGGGATGGTTAAGGTTATGTACGATCAAGCTTCACGGAATTGCGGCCAGATGCATACAAGTCGGGCCGTAAATGCGGTGAGGTTACGGGTAGGAGTTGGGAGAGAGGAGCTCTTTGTGGGGATGGCTGCGCAGTCTCGCTTGCAGCGTGTCTCCCAGTGCTCTCTGTATCTGAAACATTTTGGTCTCTTCTTCTGTCCCTCTCTGCTGGCACAGTACTCTGTTCTCCTCTGCTGGCACAGTACTCGATCGCTAGCTCGCACTTTGTCGGGATCGCGACAGGCTTCGGCGATCGCAGCTCCCGACGGTAAGAGGGGGGCGAGGAAATGGTGGATTCAATGGTAAGTCAATGGTAAGTCGATGGTAACGCCATCGTCGGTCGGTCAGTGTTGTTGACTTTGACTTTGAGCATGATCGACTTCGTTCGTCGTGAGGGCACTTGGACGGGTGCGCGAAGGGTCGTCGCTCTTTGTGTGTGTGTGTGTGTGGTGGGGGGGTGGGTAGGTGTTAGAGAAAGAGAGAGACAGGTCGAGGGGGAGAGGAGGGACAGGAGGGGAGGGGTGTCTGACAGACGGCGACAGTGTGAAGCAGTGGTTTTGTGAACAGGAGAGTCGAGGTCCCTTCACGTATTGGTGACCACAGGCGAGGGGTGGAAGTGAAGGCTGGATGTGGAGCGAAGATAGTTGGCGCAATGTGTGCGCGCGCGCCTCTTTGTATTACCCACCCAGAGACACACACACAGAGAGAGAGAGAGAGAGAGAGAGAGAGAGAGAGTGGCGTGAGGAGAAGGGCGCTACTTTAGGTGCTCTACCTTACTTCATGCTTTCCGCAGATGTATGGTTAGTACATGATTTGTTACTTTCTGAGTTTCATTACATATGTATATTCTTCTCTTCTTTACACGTTCACACACACAGAGACACACACACACACACACACACACACAGAGAGAGAGAGAGAGAGAGAGAGAGAGAGAGAGAGAGAGAGAGAGAGAGAGAGAG